TGTACATATGCCTCACGTATCAACATAACCATATTAACAAAAGAGGATTACATTGTACGGTAGACCTTGCACTGTTGACACCATGTTGGAAAAGTACAAAACCAAAGCATCCTGCTTGTGTGTGACGACATTACTCATTTGCGGCGTCAGTGAAATCAATATGTGGAATTGTTAGACAAGTAAATAAACGATGCCTGGGTATCGAATTACTGGTAATCGGTTCTGAAAAGAACCAGTTCACCGTTTCCTATCTCAGATTACTATATACTTGTATCTTGCACTATATAGAGTATAACATGCTCAAAGCATAAGACACTATACGAAAAAGAAAACACAATTTTGCCAAAGTCGGCTTCAAACCATCATGTCATCAAACCCGTAGTTGCTGGTTAGAGGAGCATGCACAGGAAATCCGCAAAGCTATTTTCCGGGTTGCTCACCTGATGTTCTATGTTGTATCGAATTTTGAATGGTACGAAGTTAGGCGTATTTTGTCAAATAGTTTGAGGTCACGTCGGGGCATCATTACAGTTATATTTTTGATCGTAGTGTGTACAGTTTTTGATTGAGTGTAGAATGTAAAAGGCGATTACAGCAATCCTAAAATGACCCATGCAAATGTGCCCCACTAGCGGATGTGAGCGAGGGAAAGGATGACATCAGAGTGACATCTGATTGATGGCTGCGAGCCTCGCTTCCAGCGAGTGATGTGGTTCGGTCCAGTTTGGCCAGAATTTTATTGTGTCACCATGGCAAACAGGGTCAAAATATCCAACTTCTCTGCATCCCTCCGCTGCAATATTGGAGGTTTGGCGCTCAGGGTGAAACTGTGCACTGACACGCCGAAAGAGCTGCCCGCCGTGTTCCACGTTACAATGGAATGAACGGAATGTGAAGAAAATGGAAAGTTTGGTTGTTCGAGTCATTTGAGTCACCGCATTTAGCGATCGCGCTTGCAATGAATGAGGTTCTTGGTTAGATTGCGTGTTTGCGTTGACTTCAAAATGCTTCAAAAATCCAACAATGAGACTTTTGAGCCACCCCAAAGTCAAAGTGACAGCATAACTGAAAGACTCCCAATGCTCTCCATACGCTGGCAAATGGAGCGTAATTACAAGGCCGGGGGCAGCGTGCGTCTCCTCCATCACGGTCAAATTAGGGGGTTGGCGGCGATGAGAAACCGGCCCAGGCTTCAGCACTGAGCTACTAGGAACTGCTATGTAGGAATTCACAGGAGACTGACCCGTCCGCAATTATTTCCTGCCGTCACATTCCTGTAAATGTGTGTTGTTGCTTATTAAAAAAAAAAAAAAAAAAAAAAATGCCCAAGAAAGATGTTCAGATGACTATGGCACTGGTATCATAGATTTTGTACAAAGTTAAACTGCGGACGGAATGCAAAGTTCAGTGCTTTGGTATATTTCTTGGTTTTGTCGCTGTTGCGTTCACATGGGGCGCAGTGAGGGAATAATTATGCGTCAATAAAAATTGCTTCCTTTCTTTTATGTAAACAAAACACTGAACAGTAAATTTAAAGGTTCTCAAAGGAAACAAAAACACCAGTGATTCTCAAAGTGCGGTTACAGTGTCTTCAACCTTATTTTTAATTCAGTGCAGCACATTTGTAAGTAAAGTTCAGTTGTATTTAACTTTTAAGTTCAAAACATTCGCTTTTACTCTTTTCGAAGAGTTTTCAAACATTACGGTACAACTATAATTTTTATTCGACTTTTCCAAGCAATACCTTTTAACAAATCATTAACGTTTTTTTTCTATATATATATTTAAGCGTTAAGCTTCAAATTATGCATCATGTTAAACTGACCGATAATAATATCGAACATACATTTTAATAATAAAACATTTGCCACATTTTTGATGAACACTTGGGCCTACTATGCTGCTGTTGTGGGTCATGATGATCGTGCTTGTAGAGCTACGTGTTTTTTGACGTGGTACTACATTTTCAGAACCACCGAACAATCAAAAAAAAAAAAAAAAGACATTTTTATGTTTAACATCATATACTGTACCTTGTTTATTTTTTTTTAGGAAAGTGCAACACTGATCGTCCTTTTTAGGAAATTGTCAGAGTTTGAACAGTGTCAATTGTGCTATTAAACATTTAGTTTGCTCATTTTTGTTTTTCTCTCATGGTGCCAAAAGCATGTCACTAGCCAGGATGTCTGCTAGTCAGAGACTGAGCTACACTGTATTTGTTTACACAGTTACACTTCCTGTCCATAATTGAATTTGCTCAAGGTGGGAACTCGGTACAATGATGAAATATCTAAATATGTGTACACTAAAACGCTAGTGTTTAACCTGTACACAGTGTCTTCAATTTAAAAATTGCTTTGGAATCCGCACAACCTAAAAATTAAGCTGCTCAAGACGTACACATTTTTATTTTTATTTTTTTGGGGGGGAGAAAGCGTGTTTCTCAAGGGAGCAAACAGACTCACCAAACACTTGTGTCATTTCTTTATGGCTGGCGGACAAAGTACAATGGTATCCATGATAAAAATCTCTGTATTAACTGTACAGTCAATGTTTTAAGCATCTTATCTAACACTGTTAACTTTCGTGTAGTGTAATTATGTTGACTGCTCTGCATGAAAATAAGAAATGGTTTATAACAAGTGATGAAATGAGTGATGACATTAGCGTCTTACGACTTTATAGAAGACTACTTCATGTGATTTTCCGGTGTAGATTTTTTTTTCCGGGTCTGTTGCTGCATTGCCATAAAGCCACCGAAAGTCCAATAAAAAGCTGAACTAATCAGTCGAACGAAGATTTCGCGAGCTACATTAACCCGAGTGACATCACTGTGACAGTGGTGTCGGCCTGAACATGCCACAAAACACACAAGTTCGTTGCAAGCTCGTGGATCCTGGCGGAGAGTTGTACTCTAGGGGTCCACGGCCTCAATGTCCCCCCACCGCCCCCACACACACACACAACATTCCCTTTGCAGTCTCGGGGAAATGACGTCAACGAGGGAGGACCGTCTCATCTCGGCAAACATTTGTCCCTTCTCCCAACTCGCGCCGCTGTCAGTCTCTCTTGGGATTGCTGGTGGCTAACGTTTGGAGAATGTTTGCAACTTTGAACCAACCCTGACGCAACATGGCACACAGCATATACTTGTCTCATCATAATATCCTGTTTCGGTCATATTGTTTTCGTCAAAAATGCACTTTTGGACACTTTTCGTCTGAAAATGTTTCAATGGCTGTATCTTCTATGCATCACTGTGGTGAAATTACCCTGCCTGGCCTACATCATGTGGACGGACGAACACAAAAGGAAGTCATTTTGGTTTGAAGCAGCCATTTTGAGCAAATCTCAGGGCTCGTACTTAATATAATTAACCTACATGTCCACATCCATATTTTTGTTCATCATTTTGCAGAGTGGTGTGCCATGGTATATTTTTTTCATGTGAAATGTGTGCCTTGACTCACTAAGGGTTGGGAAACACTGCTTTAGCAAAGTCATTTCTGAAAAGACAACAATTCTTAAATGTTGGTTTTAAGAGGCTATTTTAGGGTCATTTGACAATTTCCATCATCTAATGTGGGAGAGTGTGACGTCAAAGTTTAAGGATCATTTTGAGGATTCACGAAGGGAAAAGTAGTCCAAGGTCCCCATCATCACTGCTTATTCCTACAAACTTTGAAATACAGTCAACACTTGCTAATTCACATTATCTACTCGCAAATTTACCCGGAGAGCAAAACGACCTCCTGAAAAATTCACCGACTCACACCAATCTATATATTTCTACAATCTTTCTGTGAAGCGCAAAGATGCCGCCCCCAACACCTTAGCAAAGGAGTAGATTCTTCAAGGTGATACAGAGAAAGGTCCAGGTCACTATGGCAGAAGTTTACAGCCGATCAGCTGGTAACAGCGAGCTACTCAACGCAAGTACCTGTTAGATAAGGCCTCTTGATAATTAAATAGGTGCCTTTAGCTGTAGTCTGTTGTTTTGCCCCGACTTTTCTCTTGCTTTCACTTGGCTTCCCTTCTCAATGACACCCTTGGCACACATAATAGTTGATTCCAGTAAAGACTGTGAGGTTACACATTGTCACATGACCAAGGCAGAGTCGCCCCTCATCTCCGTGGGTGGGCGGCCAGGGCAGGTTAAGAGTAGGGATAATATTGGACAGATTAGACATTCCGCAATCTATTGGAAAAGGCACCACAGCTGTGTCCTCGATCTTTCTGGCATACATTAAATTGTTCAACTGAAAATACGTAGGCTTCTGGGAGTTACAATTAATATAGCGAGCATTCCCACAGAACTTTTTATTCCGTCAGTGCCGAACTAAAGTTAAAGAGCTGTTTATGATACATGTTTTTATGCATCACTGAGTAATGACATGGCCAATTGGTGACACACACTTTGACGCCGGTGTCCTTACATTTTTATAATTCATATTAAATCATCTGTGGGACATTTTAAGGGTAATTGGTATAAAATGGGTTTTTGAGTTAAGTTGGGGTAGAAATTATTAATGAAGCAGTTGAGGAAAATTTTAATGCGGCATCTCTGGGTTCTGGGGGCGGCGGCAACCACAGCAAGCGGAAAGCAAGAAGTTAGCAGCACCTGTTTTGGGAATAACTTGGGTGGTTGTTCCTAATGTTCTGGCTGTCACCCCAAAAAATGACGGGGTCGGTCAGTGAAGTTCGACATGAACAACTTTCGAACTGAGAGCCTCGAAACCACAGCGGCATTGTGAGAACTCTCAACGACATATCTCGGGTGTTCCTAATGAATTGACCCGAAACGCTCGACTTCAGTCGTTTGTTTTTCAGCAGTCGCAAATGTTTCGCGCCTGTTCAAAGTGTTAGACAGCAAAAAATATATTTTTTTAAAACGACATTGTAGTAGAAACTCGTTGAAAAGGATAATGCATTGAAAGGGAACGGAACTAGCTTGAAGAACCATCCAAACGGCTCGTGTTCTTAAAAAAAAAAGTTCTTACCTGGAAGAGAAGAGGAGGACGCTTCAGGCTCTTCTTTGGTACATAATAATTCCCATAAAGTGCCAAAAATGTCCCTTTAAACGCGTGTCGAGCGGCGGCGTGGTCCCGCGCACACACACGCACAGCACGAATAAAATGTGAACCAAGTGTGTCAACCGACTGCAATTTTTTTCACCGTAGTTGTTAGTGTCTCCCAGGACAACTCTTGGGGGCGTAGCTCAACACCGGAAGTTACGTTTCCATACACGTGACGTCACATAACTTTGACGAACATTTTACTAAATTTTAAATGACTTGAACTTAAAGTAACATTCCGCCACACTTGCCACCTCCATCCATTCGTAATGTATTGTCTATTTTTTGTGCTATTTATTGAACATGTTCACGCTATTGAGCGCCGTTTATGTCTAATTCGTTTCAGGTAATAATGATGGTAAAATATGATTCGTATGCACATTAAAATTCCATCGTTGTTTTGGGGGGGGTTGTTTTTACAATGTTGTAACTCTTCATCTCAACATACTAGACAAACCGTTAAGAATTTGTCTTGTTTTGTGGGGAAGGCTTTTAACTGTGAGTGCAACACTGACCTCTGTTGGTTCAACACACCACCAGTCGTCACAACAGAATACTTACCAGCGAGGAGTCACCAACTCATTTTAAACTGAGAACTTGGGGACTGATTACTGCCGTTTTGATACTCACTTCATATTTTTTTTCTACAATGACTTTTAACTATATGTTTATAATAATCAACATTGATATCAATCTATGTGAAGACATTGATAATTGTAAGCTCTCACAATTATTATCAACAATGATTTACCAAGGCAGGAAACTGATCAATATCAAGATCCAATACTTGATTTCTTTAAATATTGGCAAATGTGTGCATGTTCATGATTTATCATCATCACTTCTAGAACATTCCTTGGAAATCACAGCACCCTATCACTTGTGAAATATTTTCCGAACACATCTGCAAACTACTTTTGTTATCCTTGGGATCTACCTGGTACCCACGGGCACCAAGTTGGTGGCCCGTACCATACACAAACAGGAACCATAGTACTGCCCAAATAGGCTGAGTTAATACATTTGGGCCAAAATAAGTCCCTTGCTCTTCAGCCTTGTCTAATGGGAATTTTTTTTGTTTGTTTCAACAACCACAAGTAGCAAAAATACCTGTCGATTCTTGGAACCACAGGGACTTTACTGACATGGAGTTGGGGGCCACCTGAACACCACAATGCAGCTAACGCTGAAAGTGTCACAATACATTTGTCCTGGTGTTGCAGACGATTAACATGTACAAAACCCAAATGTGTTATTTTGAAAGTGTTTTTCCCATTAGGTTTGACATTATCGGTGTTAAAAACAAGAGAGGAGGTAAGAAACAAGTCGAGTTGGGTGAGCCTTGATGACGGGCAAGAGGTTTTTTTTTTCATTAGTTTAATGATTTTTTTCCAAAATAAACATGTCTGACAGGGAAGAAAAACCCCTCCGTCCTCTAATCTGCTTTAATCAATCACAAATGGGGCAACAAAAGTATTGCAGATGTCTGCTGCCTTCTCCAAGTAAACAAAACAAAACAAAAAAATAATCAAGATGTGGAAATGCAGCAAAAAGTACTTGGATTATGCTTGACCGATTAAGGAGAATTATATGAGAAAATGACATTTCTATTTGGGTTTGTGTTGCTTATTGCCTTCACCTTCTTTGCTCTTACAAGAATAAGACAACAAATGAAGTATTATCAACCTGGATGATGGCTTGATTACCAAGGCAACAGGCGGTAGTGACACTTGTACCATCATCACCTTTTGCGCTTTTCCAAGAACAAGGCAGTGGATGGTAGCAGTGTCAGTTTGTGGTTTGATTAAAAATGCATCACACGGGGGTGCCACTCCTGCAGTTTCGATGCCACTCGTGCCTTTTTCTACACTCACCGTCTGAGCTTAAATCCACTCGTCACATTCCAGGTTTATAATACTGCCATCTGCTGCCTTATTCTTGTTGGAGAACATGCGAAGGTAGAAGATGGCAGGAGTGCATGCTGCATTTGTAATCAAACCATATTGCAGACGGAAAAGACTGCAGTCTGTTGCCTTATTCTTGTAAGAACATAGTGTGGGGATGGAAAATGACAGGAGTGGCACTCCTGTGCGGTGCATTTATAGCCAAGCAATATCCCAGCCTGACACCATCCACTGCCTTTTTCTTGTAAGTGCAGAAACTATACAGGTATTGCAGGTGGGAGCTGTATAGGCACTTTTAAGAGAACCACATTTCTAAATGATAATACTCCTCATCTGGTGCCTAAATAGCACAGAAGGTGAAAGTGGGAAAAGGCAGGAGTGGCAACCCTTAATGTGGAGACATGGTCATTTGCAACGGAGGCCAGCGTAACATCGGCGAGGCGGGTAAACGAACATGACACAAAGAGGTACACAGCTGCTTTTGTGTGGCCCAACAAAAGCGGCTTTTATCGCTTTAGACTTTGGACAGAAGAGATGGAAGAGGGACCCCTGCCCCACCGCCAAATAGACCGAGTAAACACGAGGAAGCAGGGAGGGGATATCGGATGAAGTGGCTTCATTTACTTCCTTGCTAATTCCAGCCACAACCGTTAAAAAGCTTTGCTATCGTTGAAAAGCAAGTTTGGCAAGTTCAAATCTCCACATTTTAATTTACATTTTAATCCAAAACATGAAGAAAATGCATTTTAAATGTTTTTTTGTGTGTTTTTTTAATTAGCACCTCCAAATCTGAGACCGTGGACCTCAGTCTGAAATGGGTGGAATACCCCCTCCAGGATACGAATGAGGTCCTGTCCCAAGTGAAGGAATTTATGTATCTTGGCGTCTTGTTCATGAATAAGGGGAGGATGGAACGGAAGACCGACCAGCGGATCGGTGCAGTGCCTGCACTGATGCAGACTCAGTAACGGTCTGTCATGGCAAGAAAAAAGGATCTTCCTGTCCAGATCACATATACAATTGACCAAAATGTGTTTCCTGCGCACGGTTTCTGGGCTCTCCTTTAGAGATAGGGTGAGAAGCTCGATCATCGAGGAGGGACTCAGAGTTGAGCTGCTGAAACTTTGCATCAAGAGGAGCCAAATGAGGTCTCTCGGGTATCTGGTTAGGATGACTCCTGGGTGCCTTCCTGTTGAGGTGTTCTGGGCACATCTCACCTGGAGGAAGACAACCCAGGACACGCTGGAGACCAGCTGGCCTGTGAATGCCTTGGGACTCCTGGGCTGGATGAAGTGGCTGGGGTGAAGGACAACTGGCCTTCCCTGCTCAAGCTGCTGCCCCCATGACGATAGGTGGAAAAAGATAGATAGTTGGATGGATTTATATTGTTGTTTTTTATAATAAATTAATAATACAGGTACTTGTACCTAGACACTTCCAGTCATAACCACAAGGGGTCAGTGTTGATCTCACACTGCAATGTATCAAACTTGAGTTGTCAGAGCACCCATGTAATACAGTAAATACAGGCATGCATTTGTGTGTGTGTGTGTGTGTGTGTGTGTGTGTGTGTGTGTGTGTGTGTGTGTGTGTGTGTGTGGGTGTGTGTGCATCAACAACAACATAAAGCATGATGGTATCCATAAAAAGTACTTCCACTGAGCACATGTTTGGAACACATCAAACAACATCTGTGCGATCCTCACATCATGTCAGGTGACCTAAAGTCCAGTCAACCCTGTCCAACGGGATGTGAGGGATTTGCGCTGGGACACTTTAATTCCTCCCACTCACCTGCAAGACATTCCGCTTCCATTCAGCAGAGACGGACGGATTAACAGTCGCTGGTCCTTTAATTAAAAGGCCAAGACACTGAAGGAACATCATTTAGCCAACAAAGAGTGGCATGTTTCCATTCGGGGCAAATGCCGCAGTGCCCCACTAGATCCAGCAGATGGTGCTGTGGTAACATAAAGTTTCTTTCTTATCTAATTTTCCAATACATAAGGTTCTTACAATGGATGGATATTCTATGCTTAGTACAAAGTAGTAAAAGAGTAATTACAGCCCATTGGTTACATGTCATTCATTTGGCACAGGGCAGCGTCCTAACAGATATTGTAAATGATGAAGTGATGAATGAAGACATGCCGACTGGGTTTTAAAAATGAGGATGTGTTTAATTTATAAATCACATCCCACAAAATCTTAAATTGAACTGGTTTTAATTCATATTAGCCACTTGTGAGATGACAAACAGGGTTGTTTGCACTATGACAAACTCGCACAGGAAGGGAGATGTGGGAGGGGCTTAACGAAGGTGGCGCAAGCATGGCTGGGCTAAATTTAGCCAATAGCTTTGCCGGGGTGGAGCTAATCCGCTTTGCGTTGGAATTATCTGGCCTCGGGATTATAGGGAGCTTTGTGCTTCTACTCCCTGGAATGATGTCCCATTGCAGACTGTACCAAATCACCTGCTGGAGTGGGTGGGTCATCAATGTACATCCAATGACATCATATCATATCATAGGTCAGAAAAATTCAGATTTTATCAGAGGACAGATGTCATTGAGAACTAAGTGCTCTTGCTTGGAGGTTACAGCACTCACTTTGAAGACATCTAGTTTGTGGTTAGGGTTGAGGTTTATTTTCATGTTAGGACTAAGGCCTAGGATTTGGGTTTTGGGTTATGGTTGAGGGTTAACAGAGAGGTTTGGGATTGGGGTTAAGGGTGGATCAAAGGGTGAGATTCTGCTTTAGAATGAAAAATATGCGGTTTGCACGGGAATGGGACATCGTTTTTTTTTTTTTAACTTCCTCTTTATTTAAGGCCCCCCATCTGGATAAAAACTGAAAAAAGGACAAAAACAGAACGGATAAAAGCAATACCGTATAAAAATATTTTCTTCATACAAATTTATTCTGAGCAATGAGTTCCGCAATCCTGTAGAATTCTGTGTTTTCTGTGAAAGAGAAGTGTTCAGCATTCAGATGGACATAAGATAATAAGATAAGATATCCTTTATTTGTCCCATGTCCACATGTAGAGAATTTTTTTCCTACCATGTCTGTGCTCTACTTAATGAAATTCTAGTTTGTATGGACAGATTTAGAGATAGATGAGTCGGCCCGTATTAACAAAGATGACATTGCAAAGAGTGCACACATCGAGAATCCAAATGAGCCAGCTACTGGTGTCCTGAGTCCTTTTAATAAGAGATCTCAGCTGTTTGGGTTGGGTGTCACAGACAGGACCGTACCATTCGTCTACGCAGGGTGAGGGTCAGACTCCTGTAGGGATGATCCCGGGTGAGGCAGGGTGGCGTTGAGCAGGGGTGGGGGGGAGTTGTCGTATCGTGAGGTTGGATGCTAATCCCTCAGGCTTGACTGCATCACGGTCTCGGGATAAAGTGACATGTCAGCTTTGGCCGTTTGAAAATGCCCCTTGGACCTTTTTTTTGTGCTCCGAAGTGGTTTAATGGAAGGCCCGTCTGGTAAGAGAACTTTATGTTTAACTTTATTTTACCGATTTAGCAAAGCGAGTGCTCACTGATCAATTTTGTTGTAGTCGAGCATGATCAAATCTATAAACTGAGTTCCAGGTTGAAGCCCAACTAAGCCTCCATGTTACTTCCGTCAGGACTAAAATGTCACTGATCTATCCTAATGGATACATCCTTTCTTATCTAGCACTAAAAGTACGACATTGGAGTACAATGCTAACAATTTTAGGAACATTAAGTTACTTATTACCGGCCAAATGAGTTTAAATAGGTGAGCGAACATCACTGACATTTGTCCTTTAACTTGGTAAGGTCAATTGAGATTAGATACAATTTAGTCTCAGGTAAAATTATTTCTGGATGTGTCATAGTCATTTCCTCTTTGAGTCTAAAACTCCAAAAGTAATTTCTAGAAGCTTTTAGAAAAACTTGTGTTTGCTGCATTTGACATAACACACACAAAAAAAAAAAAAAAACATGAAAAGTAGCCAGTCAGTTGCTAAGTAAATGCTATTTTAAATGCCTTCAATTATGCGGCTGAATTTTCCACCACTAGAAAGAAACAATTAAATAAAGAAAAATAAACAAGTAAATAAAATGTTGTCCTGGGATGGTGGTGTAAACTTTCCCACATAATAAAATAATTTTCAAAAATGATTTTAGTGAAATTTACATTTTCAGGTGAAATGTGATTGTTCATAGTAACACGTGAGAAAATATATGTAACATATAGCTTTTAAATCATTTTATCTGGCATCTTTTTTATATTTCTCATTTTAAAGTGGTGATGCATTCTTAAAGTGTAAAAAGAAGTTAACCTGCATGAATAGTAATAATACATGGCACGCCACTTTGATTTCAGAGTTATCTTCAATATATACTGAAAATACAAAAACAAAGATCGACTAACACTTAAAATCTGTGATAATGTAGGTCAAATTATATTCTCCTGCATTTTAGATTCATTCTGAAATTTTACCCAAAAACCCAATACCTCTAACTTTTTGTGAGTATATGACGTATTCACCTTCTTGGTATCAGTAATACTGGCCTTGTATAAAAATCTTGCAGTATTGCATCCCACTATTGTTTACTCACTGCATTACTGTGATCTTTTGAAGTTGTTGAAGATGCTTGTTATGTTTTAGGTTGAGGATGCGAAGATCATAGCGCATCGTCGCAGCCTGCTGAACCCTTGGAGCAGACACTCGGACGTCTCGGAGGACCAGAAGCCTGCAAGGCCGCCATGAATGACCCATATCAGAACAACGTTAACCAGCAGTTGACCGAAGCGGGCGAGTACACTTACAGCCAAGATGGCGGCGGTCAGGACAGATACCCCTACCAGACAAACTACCCGCCCCAGGAGGAGGACGCCGCCAGCGATGCCACAGAGGGCGCGGACGAGGACGAGCAGATGTATGAGGGCGAGTACCAGGGCGTTCCACACCCGGATGAGATCAAGGAGGCCCGGCGGGCGGCGCGCCTCGAGGCCAAGCGGAAGGCCCGACTGGCTGCCCAGCAGGAGGAATACGATGAGGACAACCTGCCGGAGCAGTACGAGACCATCATGGAGGACTGCGGACATGGTCGCTTCCAGTGGATGCTCTTCGTGGTGCTGGGCCTGGCGTTGATGGCCGACGGTGTGGACGGCTTCGTGGTGGGCTTTGTCATGCCCAGCGCCGAGAAGGACATGTGCATATCCAACTCGGACAAGGGCTTGTTGGGTAAGTGGCGGAGAAAGAACCACCAAACCTTGGAAGTCATCCCAACAAGACTGACAGCATACTGTAAATCACCGGTTCTCAAATGGAGGGTCTGGCCCCAAAAGTGGGTCGCTGGCCCCTTTTGGGTAGGTTGTGAACAGCTTGTCAAAACAAAAAAAAAAACACAATAATAATAATAATAATAATAATAATAATAATAATAATAAGTAGTATCAGTATGGTTGGTTTGTTGGTTAATTTTTGTGTGGATGTTTGGTTGATTGGTTGCTTGCTTGCTTTTGGGTGTTAGTTAGTTAGTTAGTTAGTTAGTTAGTTAGTTAGTTGGTTAGTTAGTTAGTTAGTTAGTTAGTTTTGGGTTGTTTGGTTGGCTTGTTAATTGCTACTTGTTTTTGGCTGGTTGTGAGTGAGCAGGTGTTGGACAAACGGTTAATTGTTAACTCATTTGTTTGTTGGGTCAGTTGGTCAATCAGTTAGTTGGAGAAAACAAACTACAGATTTTAACGAAGGTTTTTAAACAGGTGGTCCATCCAGGCAAAGGTGCAATTCAAGGAATTATATTTTTTCAATGTTTGCCATTACAGTCCACTTGCATTGGGGCGAACTGAGAGCAGCTACTCAATGTATGTTGCAAAGGGAGCGAATGTTAAATCTCATGATGACACCACCAACAAGACTGAAGTGGGAAACTATCACCCACTCCACCTAATCATTTAATGGTATCATATTAACTGATTGACTGACCGTCCATCCATTCCAAATCCAAATTCACCCATTTGCGTTTAGCTCTATCCATAGTCATTCGCTGAAAAAGCGACCCATTCATTGTTTCTGTGAGTTGATTGTGCCGAGCCGTAGAAAAAGGACTCGCAATCAGTATGCCGCACAGGTCCAAATCGCAGGGAAATAACGTCTGTTCCTCGTCCCGCAAGAGCAAATGAAAGCCTCTCACCTTGATGCTGCGGCCTGCTGCACAGATCGAGTGTACATCATTTCATCTTAACAACAGGCTCCAGAGATGCTGTGGTGCAAGCGATGGATGAGGAAGCGGGTGGTGATTGCATCCTGCCTGCGCGCGCGCGTGTGTGTGTGCGTGTTCGCAGGCTAATATGGAACATGTTCCTGCGGTGGTCGAGGCAAAGTGCCGTCAGACACGCTTGGAGCCTCTGACGATTGTGCGGGTAAAGCAGCCCCGGCGTAAATGGGCTGGCGGCGTCTTGTTTGGGCAGAGCCAAAGGGGAGCGGTGCGCCATTGGCGCCGAAAATATGAATCATATCAGCAGAATGATCCGCTTTGATTCACGCTCAGGCTCCTCCAACGGGGGGCACAGATGGGGTTCAGAATAACAATTCTTTGCTTCTTACTCTTCATGAACCACATGATCGGTTCTTCATTGGACCGGACTTTTTCTTGCCTCCTTACCAGGAGGATTGACAGACAATCCAAAGTACAAATGAGGTTGAATGCTTGACCTTTACTATCAGCGGAGTGTTAGGTTTGACAGCCGTCGAAACGCAAAGTGTCAGACTAGAAGTTATGTTTGGCTCACAGTTAATGAGTTAGTTCATTGGTTGGCTTGCTGGTTAGTTGGTTCATTGGTCAGTAAGTCTCTCAGTCAAGTAAGTGGTTTGTTTGGATGGTCAGGTAGTTAGTCCACCATGCATCAAAAGATTAATTAGCTAACTAATTAGTTTGGTCGTTTGGTCGGCTGGCTAGTTAGTTGGAGGGTGGGTTAGTCACTAATATGTAGTTTGATTGTTTACTTGGATTGAATCGGCGAGTGGATCGGTTGCGGTTGGTTGGATGTAGGATAGCTTGTTAACTTGTTTTGTTGGCCAGTTGGTCTGATGAAAGGTTCATGAATGAATTAGTTGGTCAGTCAGTCAAGTGGTTTGTCGGTTTAAATCGTAGGTTACTCAGATTTGGTCGTGGGTGCCTAGTTGAAAAGTAGGTTGGTTCATTGTTTGGTTGGTCAGTCAGTCAGTTTCTTCATTGGTTGGTTGGTGGGTGGGTTAGTATGCTGGTTAATTTGTTGGTTGGTTGGTTCTCCAGTGAATTTATTGGATTAGTTAATAAAAGGTTGGTTGGTTGGGTGATTTGTTGGTTGGATGTAGATTACTTCATGAAATAGTTGGTCAGACAATGCATGGGTGTTTGCTTGAATGATACGTTGGTTAGTTCATTAGTTGGTTAGTTAGTTAGTTGGTTGGTTGGTTAGTTAGTTAGTTGGTTGGTTGGTTGGTTGGTTGGTTGGTTGGTTGGTTAGTTGGTCAGTCGGGGTGTTGGTTGGGTGTGTGGAAGCTAGGTTAGTTAGTTAATCTGTTGATTAGCCTCCACACGATCTAGGGCTTTTCCATTTTGCTCAGCAGACTCCATTGGGCTGGATCACAGAAAGATTATAGACGCGAATCAGAAAACCATAGCCCTGGTAGTGTGCAGTATTCACAATGAAATATTACTCTGTCTTCAATATCAAACACAAAAAGAATGCAGCATCAGTCATTTAAGGGCAGTTCCCTCTTTGTTCAAGGCCTCCGCTTTAGGAGAGAACTTGTAGGAGGTGGACCAGGTTACGTAGGAGGAGGCGTGCAGAGCCACTAATCCGCACGGAAGGCGCACACGATGGCTGCACGTGCCGTTAAGCCGTTTATGGGCATGCTGTATTTAGGGCCATGTAGTAAAACAGAGCAGGTTGGGAGGCACGGATGACTGGGGGGGTCTATTAAATCCCCCCCGAGACATTAAGAGGAAGTTCATAATGGTTTGTATCTAATGGGCAGCGCGGCGGGTCGTTCTTTGAAGCGGTACAGAAATGGCTCAACTGGACTTGAACACCTGCTGACCGAGGCGACACCATTAACAAATCCTTAATGGCGGCGGAAAAACATTTGCCAGGAGCCAACTTCAACGTTTTATGATGCTGACCTTTATTTCTTATTCCTGCCGCATGAATATTCAGCCATCTTGATCGCTGGCGTCAACATGAAGTCAGTCTCTAAAAACATACATTAGCAAATCAAATGGGGACTTCGACGCGCTCATAGAAGGGGGAAGGGTGCCTCCTAGTGGACATTAGATGTATTTCTAGTACCGGAGTCTTACAGGCCACAGCTTAACTGACACATGTAATGAGGTCCTTTGCGAAGCCTATCATGCTCACACTTTATTAATACACTCAGGGACGTACTGAAATCAAATAGCATGAAATAGTATCACATAAAAATAACATTTAATATATTCAGAATAAAAATAAGAGCAGGCTTACTGTTTTGCCACAATGCGTAACAAGTGGTGTGCCCGTGTCTGTCAGGATTGCTGGTGTACGTGGCCATGATGGTGGGCGCACTGGTGTGGGGGGGTCTGTGCGACAAGATGGGGCGCAGGAAGTGCCTGATCTACGTGCTGTCCATCGATCTGCTCTTCTCCTTTCTGTCGTGCTTCGCTCAGAGCTACGGCTTCTTCGTCTTCTTCAGGTTCTGCTCCGGCTTTGGGTGAGATGCCCGCACATTTGACTTCAATTAAATTCCCATTTGCATGTACAAAATGTCAATGTCATTACCGCTGACCTTTACCGTAAATAATTCACATTTGCAGCATTATTTAAATTAACGTTCACATTTGCATTCCATAGGATACTATTAGTGGTTGTGTGTGTGTGTGTGTGTGTGTGTGTGTGTGTGTGTGTGTGTGTGTGTGTGTACATGCATTTCCACACAAGAGGTCAAGCGTGCTTGTTTCAAGCAGTTACTTCCAGTTCACTGTAAAACAAACAAAAAAGACAATTAAACATCCCATTGTTGTAAAAGCACAAAAACAGTCAAACATATCAGACAATTGTATTTATTTATTTATTTTTATGCTCATAAGTTTAACATTATGATCAGGCAAAATGCCACAGACAGGCAACAGAAAAATGTGAATGTTCATAAACAGGCCACTGACTGCATACTGTATAAACCCATTATAAAAAAAAAGATCTCTTAAAAATTGGCAATGTCACGTGGGAAACCAATGTTGAACTACAATATCGCAAAGGTACACTGTCTTACAAATGTTACCAGAGGATATTCTTACGGATTCCATTACACAAGTGGATAACAATTACAGATACATTTCTTCTAGAATCGGAGGCTCCATCCCCATCGTGTATACGTACTTCACCGAGTTCCTGCAGATGGACAAACGTGGCGAACATCTGAGCTGGCTTTGCATGTTCTGGATGTTGGGAGGCCTCTACGCTTCCTTCACAGCCTGGGGGATCATCCCCCACTACGGTAACACACGCACACACACACACACACACACACACACACACACACACACACACACACACACACACACACACACACACACACACCTTCCTTCTTCTGTACAGCTGAAAAACAGTACTTCAATAAATGCATGAATAACCCCCAACACCTTGTGTTTTCATTGTTTCATTAACCATAAAAAACCAAATTTAGGACATATTTTTTTGCCAAAATTTCAAACAAGGACAAACCCATTTGTCATGAAGTAGACACACTTTATTCGCTTTAGCAGACCAAATAGAGTGATGCAGTGGGCCTGATCTGGCCCCCGGGCCATGTGTTTGATGCAATGGATTTTAGAATTTTCGACGTTACCATAAACATCAGAGACAATGCTAAAAATGTTCAAATGTCTTGAACTTTAATGGCCGTATGCTTGTTAACAGTGAAGAGATGTTATTTTTTGTCAAAGTCAAACATAAGCAGAACAAAAAGGACAAGTTCAAGCCTTTGATGAACTTCGATTTACCATCTTTTTTTTTTTTTTTTTTTTTAATCATCAACGACAATTTACATTCTTCAACGAACATACCGGAGCAAAAACAACAACACACACAGTGAAGAGTCTGTTACTTCTGCTAACAACCCAGGCTACCTGCGAATAGGTGAGCGTTTCAGGATAGGTTGCACGGGGAAAAAAACAAACTTGTTTTGAATTTCTAAATTGTGAACCCCAAATAGGCTGGGGTTCACCGCGCATGAACGTTCAACAGCAATGTAATCATTTACACAGCATCATACAGTATAGAAAGGACAAGGAGATCCGACAGGAACACAGACAAAATTGGCATTGCGACTCTGACTTACTGTGAAATGTCGTCCACGGGCTTCCAGGTTGGGGATTTGCCATCGGCACGGAATTCCAGATGCACAGCTGGAGACTCTTTATCCTGGTGTGTCTCTTTCCCACTCTGGCTGCTCTTGTCGGCGTCTTCTTCATGCCGGAAAGTCCGCGATTCCTCCTGGAGGTGAGCAATACCTGTTTTTTTAGTCTTAGTGCAGTGGTTCTTAACCTTTTTAGAGGTACCAAACCCAACCAGTTAATATGCACATTCACCGAACCCTTCATGAGTGATTTTTTTAAAAAAATAAATTCAAGGTATAAAAAAACCCCGCATTTATTAAAAACAGAAAAAAGTCAAGAAAACTTCAAGACATAAGTATACTTTTTTTTTTAATTGCACGATGTACTATCACGACAGTCACACTTTTTTTTTTTGTAATTGTACGACGTACTATCACGACAGTCACACGTTGACTACGAAGCGAACTAAATTTCTCACAGCACTGATTGGACAACAATGTCATGTGATCAACTGCAGCCAGTGATGGCCAAGCGGGCGTGTCATAACATGTTAAGTAGCGTGTGTCTTAGCCTCCACTGCGGAGACTCGGTCGATCCCCTGAGACCGACTCACCGAACCACTGGCGTTCAATCGAACACAGGTTAAGAACCACTGGTCTCGTGTTTTATGTTCGCTGAATGAGATTGGGTTCCTTCTATTGAGACACCCTCCGTCCAAAAGCAACACGCCATCGCGATGCCGTGGTAGCGAAGGCTCGCAAAACCATCAACCGGAACACCGCGCACCCCGCCGGTGTCTTCCAGCACTTTGTCAGCCACTTAACCACATGCGGTGTCATGATTGGTTTAGTGTATCACAGCCAGGTCCCGAATACAAACACTCTTACACAACTGCATACCTGACTGCAGCGTGGAGAGTAAAAAATTGAGCATGAATGATAAATGAGAGATGGTGATGGATATGGTCAGTTTTGTTGGCGCAGCGAGCAATGACACGGATATTTGTGGTTTCTTCAGAATTTTGAAAAGACTCTTTGTCATAGTGATCCTGTACAAAGCAGGATATGCCTTCATTTTTTTTTTACATATGTAGTGTAAATTCGTCACAAGATGAATTAATGTGGCACAAAAATACTTTATAGCAGCACATCGCAGCAAAGTTTTTTTTTCATTTTTTATTACATGTATAAGATACACTCATCTTAAAACAATATCCTGGTATTTGAATGTATTTAATTGTCCACTACTTATTACCAGTTGATCTAGTAGGTTTTATTTTCCAGGACATTCTACTCAATAGGTAGTATGGAACGAGTGAATAATTGTGAACACAGCCTTGCTCTTCCGGATGTGAACAGTGAAACACAAACAATAAAGTGGTACATGAGCAAATACATACACGCACAGATAATATTCATCCAATTGGAGATACTTGGTTCATTTCAGAGTGCCAGACACGACGAGGCGTGGATGGTCCTGCGTCGTGTTCACGACACCAACTGGAAGGCCAAAGGCGAACCTGAGAGAGTCTTCACTGTGAGTGATGGGTTTGTTATTAACAAACTCAATCGGTGCTTGAAATTTCACATAAGAAAATAATAGCTGTCTTGCGGGAAAGAAAGCAACCATATTTTTGAATGCCAAGACTTTTCTAATTGAAAACTTGATGGTATGAAAATATGCAAAAAAAAATTTTTTTAATACTATAGCACAATATTGAAACAGTGTTGTTGCAACACAGGCAACCAACATCAAAACGCCGCAGACGCAGGAAGACGAGTTCATCGAAATCCAGAGCGATACGGGCACCGCCTTCCAGCGTTGGACTGTCAGACATATGACCATGCTGCAGCAGGTCGCGAACGACACCACCTCGGTTCCTCCCAAATCAATTCTCATCCTCACACTGTATACTTCCTTTTTGTCTTTCAGGTGATGGCTAACGTGATGTCACTGTCTGCGCCTGACCTGCGACTGCAAGGCCTCTTCCTGGCCATCGTTTGGTTCTGTCTGGCCTTCAGGTACTTCAACACAGTGGTTCCCAAACTGAGGTCAGGGGACCCCCGGCAGTTTGCCAGCCAATACTTTGTAATTAGCAATAAATGATGTTTTATCATTTTCAAAAGTACATCATTATTTATGGGGACCAGCATGTCAATTAAACAAACTAAACTAAGAGTACTCCCTCACCGAGACTTGCAAATTGCAAATCAATTTTCCCAGAATTTCTATGATTTTTTTTTCTATTCATGGATTTCTATTTAAAAAAACATTGCAAATGTGTGTATTTTAGCTAAATTCATTTGAATTTTCTGAATTTCCAAATGAAATTTTAGAATGTTTATTTCCAAAATGTCTTAAATAATTTTCAAACTGTTCTGATCATGGTTCAAATTTTTAAAAAGAATAAGAAGACAAAAAAGAAGAGGAAGAACAAAAAAAAACATTTTGATGTGTTGAATGCAGTTTTGGTTGAACTCAAATAATTGTCAAATTTTCAAAATTAAGTTTTAGAGTCCTATTTTCCAAATTTAATATAATGATCCAGCCTAACTACTTAAGCACACACACACCGAGTAAATACATCATGAGGGGAAAAGTGTTGGATGCAGTTTTAGTTCATTATCATTTTTTAAATTCCAGGATTCAATGTGAGATGTCAGTGGAGAAAATTCTTCCCGTTGAAATAACTTTGAGAATAATTGCTTGAATGGATGCTAAGCGAAAACTTGCTGGCTAATCTAACTGTTAGCATCAGCGGTATGATACGTGTGTGTGTGTGTGTGTGTGTGTGTGTGTGTGTGTGTGTGTGTGTGTGTGTGTGTGTGTGTGTGTGTGTGTGCGTGTGTATGTTAGCTACCATGGGCTCGGAGTGTGGTTCCCCGACATGATCAAGTACATGCAGTACGAGGAGTACGAATCCAAAGTGCGCATTTTCCACCGGGAACGCGTGGAGCGTTTCCACTTCAACTTTTCCTTGGTCAACCAGGTGCACCGCGAGGGCGAGTACATCCACGACAAGTACGGTCACAGCCTCCGTTCATAATATCAGGAAGTGAGCCGACAGGAATTGAATTGAACCTGATCTTGTGTTTGCGCGTTGTTTTTTAGGTTTGCAAACATTGAGATCAAGTCGGTCAAGTTTGAAGACTCTTTGTTTGAGAACTGCTACTTTGAGGACATCAAGTCCACCAACAGCTTCTTTGAGAACTGCACCATCAAAAACACAGTTTTCTACAACACAGGTACATAGGCAAACCTCAAGTACAAAGTACTAGGTTTTTAACTTACTTATTTTGAGTGATTGTTACTCAAATCTTGTGTAGTATTGACGACAATAGCATGTATTGAATACTTGCAAATAGGCAATAGTTTTGTTGTTATTAACAACTCTGGAATTTTGTCACTGACCAGACCTGTGGCAAGAGAAGTTCAAAGACTGCCGCATGGAGAACACCACCTTCCTGCACCCCAAGAAAGGCTGCCACCTCAATTTCCAGGAGGAGAACGACATAGTCATTTATCTAGTCAGCTTCTTGGGCAGCTTGGCGGTGCTGCCAGGCAACATCATCTCGGCGCTCTTCATGGACAAGATCGGACGAATCCGTATAATAGGTCAGTTGCTTCTATCAAGCCATCTTTCTGCTAAGTGTGACAGTTCAGTTTGCTTCACCGCCGTTGTTACGCTCTTCAATAGAGAACCAAACCATACTACAGTACTGTAATTTTTGACCAGGCAAATGCCATCATGCTTATACTGTAAAAAAATTGAACCAAAACGTACCTCTTGGTGGCAACGGGACAAAAATGCCTTGCTGTTCGATATCTTATCTTTCCAGGTGGTTCCATGCTCGCGTCATCTGCCTGCACCTTTCTACTGCTGCTGAGCTTCAGTCAAGGAGCGGTTATATGTTGGCAGTGTCTGTTCTATGGCGCTAGCGTGGCAGCCTGGAACGGACTGGAGGTCATTTCTGTGGAACTGTACCCGTCATCTAAAAGGTAGAGTCAAACATTAGTCGGTGGTTATTAAACATCAAAAGATGTCTCATTGGATGGGTAGGTAGGTCGGTAGCTAGGTAGGTAGCTCGGTCGGTAGCTAGGTAGGTACATTAGAAAGGTATGTACGTAGGTAGCTAGGTAGGTAGCTAGGTAGATACATTAGAAAGGTATTTAGCTAGGTAGCTAGGTAGGGTAGAGTAGATAAGCAAGGTTGGTTGGGTAGGTACAGTCAGGTAGATAGGAAAGGTACAGATTAGGTAGGTAATGGAAGATTTGACACCAGCCTATAATTACAGAGCCTCTCTGGACTGAAGTGGGCCGCTGAAGTAAGGGTTGAATAACAGTGGTGATTTACGTCCGTATATGGAAGGGCCTGTAGATTATGTGGGTGGATAACTAAATTAGGCAGGTTGGTAGATTGGGTAGGTAGCTGGGTTTGCTCTTTGGGTAGGTAGGCAGGTGGGTGTGTAGGTAGATTTGGTAGGCAAGTAGGTAGGTACAGTGTATCACAAAAGTGATTACACCCCTCCTGACATTTTTGTAAATACTTACCGTATATCTTAACTTTGCAGAGGCACAGCGTTTGGCATCCTCAACGGCATCTGCAAGTTGGCCGCCATCATCGCCAGCTTCATCTTTGCGGCATTCGTGGGCATCACCAAGATCATCCCCATCTTCTTGGCCTTCTCTGCGCTCGTTTGCGGGGGTCTGCTGGCGTTAAAGCTGCCCGAGACCCGGGAGAAGATCCTGTCTTGAACACAGCCAAACGTCGCCGCCTGCGCCAGCAAGGCCACCGCCGACGGGCCGTCTGACCACGGCTGACCACAAGTCATTTGGGGCATACGCCGCGCATCCAGAACTGGATGTTTTTCATTGCCTACGTGGACCTTCACTTGCCGTTCCCGTTACGATCCTCAGGCCCGCCCGGATCATGTGTGAATATGAAACTAGCGCTTGTCTTTTTATTTGTATTTTCCTCCGTCTTCGGTTCACGTAGTCATGTCCTGTGAGGTCCGCTTTAAGAAGACAGAACAGTGCTTTAAAGATGATGTACTTCCTGTCGCCATGTTGTGCTTTGGTTTCCCATTCACATCCGGAAAAAAGGCCAAAAGTTTCCACTAGGCAGTTCAAACATGTCCACGCTCAATTCGTTGGCGGCTAACACTTGACGTTTACATAGCATTAGCGATCCAAACCCCCCAACCCCCCCCCCCAAAACCCCCACCCCCACATTATTGGATTAGTCCTACAAGTTCTTTTAGTTTTATTCAACAAACATTTTTGTCATAAAAATGTTTTTTTTTTTTGTTTCTGAATCACAAGATTTGGTGATGAACTGCAACAATGTATCGTGACTTGAGGACTAATATGGTAGTGACGGCCTGTGCTTCTCTCAAATGTCGAGCGATAGTGCGAGCTCCTCTTAACTGCGAATCAAATTTTTAAAAATTGTGTGAACCTGCTGCGAACTTGCGCTCTTCAAGTCGCTTGCACAATTATGGCTGTAGCAGGATTTAACACACTAAAATTTACTGCTTGGTGGAAACTGTGACAAGAAATGACTGATCGTGTAGAAAATACCTGTTCATTCCGCAAGTGTGTCCTATTTGAATAGTCCTATTTAAATATCATGCATAGAGTATTTTCTGTTTAAAAGTTTAGTTAAAAGTTTTCTGGTCTTCCGGATTTTCTACCTTGTTTTTTTCATCAGGTTCTGTCTTGTAGTCATCATAATGTGTTGTTTTTTTTTTTGTGTGTGTGTGTGTGTGCGTGTGTGTGTGTGTGTGTGTGTGTGTGTGTGTGTGTGGGTGTGTGTGTGTGTG